TGGCAAGTTGCCTCACATATTTATTCTGTGGTGAGTATACTTAAAATCTCCTTTCTTAGCAATTTCCAAATACAAATTGTTTTTTATTAACTGTAGACACCATGACGTACAATAGATCTCTTGAACTTACTCCTCTTATCTAACTGAAATTTTGTGTTGTTTGACTAACATCTTCCAAGTCCTTCTACTTCCCAGCTTCTGATAACCCCCATTTTGCTCTCTGTTTCTATGAGTTTAAATTTTTTACTTTCCAGATGTAGTAAGAAGTAGTATTTGTTGTTCTGTAAAAATTAAAGTTCACTCTTTAAGTGGCATAATCTGAATTTAAACCTAGTTTTAAACCCTTGATCTTTCTTCTCCAATAAGGTGAGAGTTGTAAAGCTTCTGATTTTCTCTCGAAGGAGGGGGGTTGTTCTAGTCGGCTCTTTCATTGCTGTAACCAAAAGATCTGTCAAGAACAAATGACAGGAAAAGTTTATCTGGGGGCTCAAGGTATCAGTTTTTGGTACGTAGTCATCTGTCTCCATAGCTCTGGGCCTGAGATGAGGCAGGACATTATGGTTTAAAGAGTGGCAGAGGGAACATGGTTCAGGACAAGGTAACAAGGAACCAGAGAGAGCTCTGCTTGCCAAAGACAAAATATAAACCCAAAGGCACAACCCCAGTGACCTGTTTCCTCCAGGTGCATCCTATCTGCCACTCGGTTAATAGCTATCAGTGAATTAATCCACTGGTTAAGTTATATGTTTCATAATCTAATCATTTCACCTCTGATCTTGGATTGTTTCATGCATGAGCTTGTGGGTGACAACTCATATGTAAACCAATACAAAGGTGCTCAAGGAGAGTAAAGATATCCAAGACTAAAGGTCTAAGGAGACGTAGGTACAGCAGACAATGATAAAGGACCTACTCAGGAAACAAAAATGTAACAGTAGAAGGTGGTATTTTAGATGTATCCTTGTGCATAACATTGACTACATGAAATAGGAATCAAGTAAATGTTTTCTAATCAATGGATGAATATATGACTGAATGACAACCAGGCTCACAATTTTGAAATATGAAGCTAGAAAGCACATTTGACTCAGATCTATCCTTCATTAAACATTCTAAATAATATTGTATTGAATGTCTGGCAGGACCTGATGGCAACTTAAGAGATTAATGTAATCAAAACAACTTTATTTTGGATAAAATATTACATGAACTCTTTCAAAGTGTTCTCTGGAAAAGCTTTGAGAAAGAGTCTCGAACTTGTGAAAAGATGATCTGCAAAGACTCTGCCCCTTAACCTATAAATTCCACCTTTTTTTAGGGTAGTTTTGTTGTTGTTGCTGCTGCTGCTGTTGTTTGTTTTGTTCTTTTTTATTCTGTTTATCCTCAATGTCATGCTTTCTCCAAGGTTATGGTTACTCTCTTTAAGACATGGAACAAATATTAAATCTCATGGTTCTCAGTAACATAGCTAAACATTTCAAATGGATGTCCTAAACATTAAGAAACAATGATGGGGGAGGAAATAATAGAAGTTCATTGGTTAGACAAAGGGAAATGAAGGGAAGGAAGGGGGATGGAAATAGGAAAGATGTAGAATGAATCAGACATGACTTTCCTATGTTCCCATATGAATACATGACCAGTGACACTCCACATCATGTACAACCACAAGAATGAGATCCTAGTGACTGTTGTATTCTGCTGCCTTTCCTATCCTCTACTATCCCCCCTCCCCACCTCCCCTCCCATCTTCTCTCTCTACCCCATCTACTGTAATTCACAGTCACTAGTATGGCACTATGTAAAAACGTGGATGTGTAACCAATGTGATTCTGCAATCTGTATATGGGGTAAAAATGGGAGTTCATAACCCACTTGAATCAAATGTATGAAATATGATATGTCAAGAGCTTTGTAATGTTTTGAACAACCAATAATAATAATAAAAAAAGAATGAGATCCTACTTAGAATAAGTTATACTCCATGTATGTATGTCAAAATATACTCTACTATCATGAATACCTAAAAGGAACAAATAAAACAAAAAGAAAAGAAACAACAGAAAATAAAGGAAATTCAGAGACATTAAAAACCACCAGATTTACCAAATTCGTACTGTCTATATGAGCTTTTGGGTAACTCCTTAAATCTAAACCATGGATGATTAACTATGCTTCTAGTCCCAAATCTATTTCACATATGATTGAGATCCCTGCCCAAACTATTCTTCTTTGGGGTTGTCTGGTTTACCAGCACTTCTTAAGTGAGCTTCATTTGGAGCTTATTTGAAAAGTTGGAACACTTTTTTTTTTCTGTTTCAGTAAATGATTCACTCCTTCAAACAAGCTATTTCTGCAAAGTCACTTCAGTCTAAACTAAATTAGATAGTGTCTGTGACCATTATAGATGAGAACCCAGAAGAACACCATTTCCCAATTCATAGGAAATTGGACATTTTTAAGTCGACATTTTTCCAATGAGGCAACTGAGGCTCTGACAGATGCAGCAACTCACCCCACTTCATAGTTAGGAAACAACAGATTTCAAATCTGTGGGGTTTAAACTGTCCTTTCATTTACTTCTTCATGCTACTTGCAAACTTAATAGGGAAAAAATGCTGAAAATGAAAGATGTTGCCTTTTGATTAATACTAAATGCTGAACACTCTTATTAAAAAGGCAGCAGGAAATTCATCACTTTTTAAACTTCACATTTCAAGAGAGAGTTCAGTAGCATCTCTGTCCTTTGAGGTGAAGCAAAGCACAAAAGGAAAATCCAAGCAAGCATCTTGGATTTTACAGAAATCAGAATTCTACTTAATATAAGGGACTCAAAATTGGCTGCACTATCTGTACAAGTGTCCAGGTTCTCATCCCAAGCACAGCTGTAGAGGGATTAGGCAGTCAAATGTCATGGGAAACCTGGATAATTTCTAGTTCTACCTCCAATTTGCCAACTTTTCAATCTTCATCACTTTTGCAATAAAATATCCAACCTGACAGATGTTCACATCTATTCAAAAAATATAGAACAATTATCATTAATAAGAGACTCTGTGTGAAAGAAATGCCCTGATGTGAATGCTGTAGTTGCTCCCACGTGAAGAGCTGTGGATCTCACTTTCATTCCCAACAAGCTGTCAAATGGGCAGGAACAGCACCCCTGGGAACAAGGCCAGGCAAAACCCTCATGAGGAAATTTCATTCAAGGAAAGTATATCTAACCAACAGTTTCAGAGAAAGCAAAAACAATTTTATAAAAATCTAATACCAGGTAATTTTCATAATAGGAAGCTAAAGTTAAAGGAAGGAGAAATAATAAAGGAATCAAAAAAGTTTGATCATTTCTTTGGGTCTGGTGCTTGTGCTGGTTTTACTCAATGTTTTCATAAGTGAACTGAAATTTTTCCAAAGAAATTAACATTTTATAGCTAAAAATATATGTATTTGAGTATGTGAAAACAATGTAATTTGTGAAGGCTTTGTAGATGGGAGAAAAAGTACTTCAAAGGCAAGAAAAGATATGTAGGAGAAAATTAAGTATACATATAGTATGTAATATGCATTTATGATAATGGGTTCTGTAATACAGTATGGAAAAGATTTAAAACATTATAGAACCATCAGTGAAGGTATTAACTAATGAGATGCTGCATATAAAAATACTAGGCCTCATCAAAAGCAATGTTTTTAATAGGAGAGGAGAAGGTGTTCTCTCCTATTAAAAAATATAATGTGCATATAACTCAAGTACTAAATATAGTTCTAAACATTGTACCTAAGGAAAGCCTTACTGGGCTAGAAATTGTAGATAGATTTGTTTATTTATATAATCATTTATCACACATAATTATTAGCAGAGGCAAATAAAATTCTATCATGTAAAGAAAAAAGTGTAAACCTAATTCTGCAAAATTGAATACTTAGTGGGGATATTACTGGTCAGTATAACAGAATAAAGCATTTATGAGGAATGGCTCCTTTTCAATTGGTGTTCAATATTCCAAGCATTGTTCTAAGCCCTTGACTGTATTAATTAAATCTCTTCCAATACTATTAATATTCCAATGAAACACAGAGAAGTATAAAAATTTGCCCCAAGTCACACAGCTAGTAATTAGTAGAACCAAGATTAAAACAAACCTTTTTGAGTTCAAGGAATGTGTGCTTAACTACCACATATGAAACACAAATATAATTTTTAGCATTAAGAGTTCTTAAACAGAGTCCTCCTAAACTGCAAGTAGGTAACAGAGTTAAATAAAAATAAGTATAAAATTAACTATAAACATTGAAATCAGAAAAGCAAAAATTCTAAATCCTAAGTGACAAAACTCATTGAGAATGTAAAAATAGAATCAGAAAGTCTCTATAGAGACACACAGACAACAGCATAAAGCAGGGAAAGGGGCAGGTTGAGGTAAGTAACTCTCTAGCCTGAAGTCTGGCCTCTAGCAGGTCGACCAGAGCTTTCCACAGGGCTGCACTCAGTGCCCCATGAGACGCAGGCAGCAAGCAGGATGCACCTCTGATCTCACTCCAGATGGTGCCATTTCTTCTGCCATGTAGAAACATGAGTCCTTTGTTTCTACTTATCCTGGTGTTTTCTGTGTTTAGTTACAAATACCTGCAAGGCAGAGAACCAACCAATCTCATTCAACTCACCTAGTGCAATATCGCACACAAAGCTCTTGATACATAGATTTTAATTAGTATGGTTTGCTACCATTTCCCTCAATTTCACAACTTAAACACCCTTGAGGTCATGCTTAGAGAAATAAAAATGTGCTTTCGATGTATTTTTTTTCTGTTTACCACTTCTAAGAATTTGGTTGAATGCCTGACTTTATGACATAGTTAGGAAGAGGGAATCTCACTAAAATATTCTTTAGAGATGCACCAAGTCTAAGATTACTACCTGTTCATTATACTGAAGCTTCTGACCCAGAGTTTCTTTGGGTTAGGGAGGCAACCATCCTGAGGGACTTTTTTGACATTACCGTCTGCCCTTCTTCATCCAGGGAGCATTTGTTCAGCTGCCATGTTTTTGCAGTTAACTTCATGCTGCTGTTTCTCACAGTGCCAGAGCATCTGGTGTGGCACTCAGGCACTGTCCTTTTCTAAACACTGTTCAACTGGAAAGAAAATATCATACATCCTCTCTCCTCCACTTCCCATTTTCTTTCTCCTCCTGAAATTATAGCCCTATACAAGAGAGTATGAAGGGGGCTATTACGTGGAGAATTGATTCAAAGGGCCTGCCTGAGCTTGACTTTAACATTACATCTATTAAATACAATGTTCTGTTCCAGTTATCCAGAACTTTTTCCAAAAGGTAGAGTATGTATCTTGCTATGAAAATTGTGTACATTAAAATCATATTGTTGAATTTTATATGCTTATAAGATTGAACAATCAACTTTTGGTCTAGACTGGTCTTGGGGAGGGTGTGGCTTTTAAGGACTTTCAAAGAAGATGGACTACCTGAAATCCTAGGCTAACACAGAGCAAGTCGGGGAAGAAAACACAGCTCTTCCATAGGCTCAGGACTAGTACATAAAACTTAATCCAAGAAGTTAAATAATAGAAATAAAAATCTCAAAAAGCTAAAGGTGTTCATACTAATCACATTCACTTTCTTTCTCTAAACTATTATTTGCAGTTATAAATTGATCTTCATTCATGAATATTTCCACAACATGTGACAACGACATGACACTACAAGACAAGCCACAGCTTCTCCTTAGTGAGTCCCTTCTTCTAATAGCCTCACTCAGTGTTCAGGTGGAAAGTGTATTCATTCCCAACTCCATCCCAAGTAAATGGCTTACACGTATTATGTGTATTCAATGACTCCATATATATTAGATGTCAGCTATCATCTCCACTTAATACAGAAGTAGCGAGAGCCGTTCTCTACATGTTACTTCTGTACATGGTGCCCTGATTGACGATGTCATTTTATACATAGTGGGAATGCTTTTTGCATTATATTTTCCTTGCTTCATCTAAAGAAAAAAATCTTCATTTTCCCAAATGTAACCACACTTTGCATCTGAGTCCAACTTTTAGACCTTCATAATTGTCTTTGGATAATACAAGAGTAGAAGTTATTTACATACAAAGTTAGAATTGATAAGAAGTGCTATATGTTGACAAATCATCATCTGAATATAGTCCAGACCCAATAAGTGGTTATTATTATCTAATATTCCATATATTCCAAATATAATTTGAACAGGTTTTCACCTTTACTCATTTAATCTTGAAGTACTTTTATTAGACTGAGACAAAATCTTTGAGAAAAGCAAATATTTTTCTTTCAATAACAACATAGAAATAAAAATGTTATTGTATACTGGTGTTTCTAAAACTCAGTGTCTAACAAAGTTATTTTAAATGATTATTCAAACTAAGTAAGCTTTCCTATATGAAAATTCTGAACTATTTAGTTTTTATTACATTTATAAACTCAATATATAATAAAGAAGTGTTTCTTCACAAACCTCTCCAAAGCAGACATATAACAAATATAATCATGCTATCCTTATTCCTAGTGGTCCTCAAATAGTTGACACAGAATAATAAAAAGGTTTGCTGTCAGCATTTTGATAAATAACATTTTAATTATTAGCTTCATACCTCCTGCAGAAGGTCCCCTTCATCATTCATCTCAACACTTTTTTATTTAAGCCAGCTTTGGAAACCACAATATCTGCAACAAATGTTTTCAACATGTATTTATATGTATACCTCTTACAAAGCCTGCAGATGATGAATTCCACAGAGGCTCTTTCCAGAGGGATCTAGCAGGTAATAAAAGATAAAACATCAGACTCTGATGTGTCATGCCCTAGGCACAGTACACTAGAAATGCTCTAGAAGAGTCAAATGACAAATGCTCATTTATGCCTGACTCCCTGCAAACAAAGGACATACAAAGCTTAAATTTGTGTTGACTGACTTTTTACCTCCAACATACTGAATTTTGTTATGCAACAATTGTATTCTGGAATGAAATCTATTATTGTACTCAGATGATGAAACATTTGTTAGGCAACCATTCTATCAAAGCCCACAGACAAAAATACAAGTGGAAAAATACACTATAAGTGACCCAGACCAATGGCAAACATCTACTCATTTGTAATTTCCAATTTTCATTTGTGGGTCCCTCTAGCCTCAAAATTAATTCTGGTATTTCAGTGTATAAATGTAGCCATCTTTCTTTTGCTTGTTCTCCAATGTCAGTCTCTGACAAATCCTAGCCTACCCCAGCAGCTTCAGAATGAACATGGGCTCATCTACACAAATCCCAGCCTACCCCAGCAGGTTCAGAATGAACATGGGCTCATCTACACAAATCCCAGCCTACCCCAGCAGGTTCAGAATGAACATGGGCTCATCTACAAGCGGTCCTATAGAATTCTGAACACAATTCTAACTCAGAGGAAATAGGGAATGCTTCCTCTTCACTAGTAAAGGGAGTTTGAAATGGTACTTCTGCTCCCTCAACTGTGACTACAAGTACAATTGGGGGAAGGGAGCAAAGACAAGAACTTTCTTCTGAATCAAACCCAATGCCCTCTAAGCATTTTCCATGAATGAGTGTCCAATCTCCACGGCTGACACTTCTATCCAGGTCTTCTGGGCCTCAAGAGGTCCAGGCCCACACTCCAACCAGTCAATACTAACTCTCTTGGCCCATTGCAAAAGCCCCATTTCCTAAGGGCAGAGAAATATGTTCTCATTTCCTTCATGTTGGCTCTGTGGTCTATCATGGGTTTAGGCCTAGTTCTGATGCTGATGCACATTTGGAACTGCATTCTTAACATAGCTGTTGCGGACTCTCAGACCTCCCCAAGAAAAGGACCATATCAAACATCACAGTGTTTGACGCACTCTTACTGCTTTTCTGCAGCTCTTAGGGTGTCTAATTTTCACAATGCCCTGTACCCGAGCCTCACCTGGGTTTTTGTCAGTCCTCTTCTGAGAATTGTGTGCCTCCACTCTTAAAACTATTTCCACATGCAAAATAGGCACAACTGTTCTATAGAAAAAGGAATCATTTTGTAAAGAATTCTGAAATGCTTCTCTATGTCAGAGCAACTGCTCAGGGTAAGTTACATAAAGACATGTTAAGAACAAAATCCAGCCAGGTGCAGTGGCACATGCCTGTTATCCCAGGGGCTCTGGCGACCTAAGGCCAGAGGTTTTTGAATTCAAAGCTAGTCTCAGCAAAAACAAGGTGTTAAGAAACTCAGTGAAACCCTATTTATAAATAAAATACAAAATAGGGCTGGGGATGTGGCTCAGTGGTCCAGTGCTCCTGAGTTCAATCCCTGATACACCCCGCCCCAATAAAAAGATCAATATCCTTTCTTTATAGCATCACCTCAGATTTTTTTCCTCTGGGAATTTTATTTTTAGCTTGTTTCATTGTTCTTCCTTGCCTTATTTTGATAATCTCATCTTATCAATGTGTATCCATGAGCTTCTCCTATTTCTTGGGGCCATGGTCTTGTATCAATGTATTGATACAACTTATGGTTGTATTTTTGTTTAAAACGAAATGTATCCTGCTTGTGTTAGATTTGCATCACTCTGACCAAAATACCTGACAAGAACAACTTACAGGAGGAAGGTTTATCTTGGTTTACAATTTTAGAGATTAAGTTCATTGTCAGCCAACTCCATTGCCCTGCCCCAAAGTGAGGCAGCACATTATGGCAAAAGGGCATGGTAGAAGAGCACTAGTTGGTTCATGGCAGCCAGGAAGAAAAGAGAGGGGGGGAAGGGGTTGAAGGGAAGATGAACCCTTCAACAGCCTGCCCCCAGTGACTCTCCTCCTCCATCCATGTCCCACCTACCTATAGTTATCACCCAGCCCATTCACACTAGGATGGACTGATTAAGTTACATCTATCACAATCTAATAATTTCATCTCCAAACAGTCTTGCATTAATCTGTGAAGTTTAAGGGGACATTTCATATCCAAACCATAATACCACTTCAAACAAATTTACATGTAGCCTTTTAAGGGAACTCAACATAGGGGTTTGTTCCTTGAAAATATTTTCTTCTACATTTGCACCGTCATTATTTTATTTTTTTCCTTCCAGTCTTTGTCTTTCTAGTCATTTATCTTTGTTTCTCTTTTGACTTAATGAATTTCAATGTCTTCTCAGTTTGCCCTGTATGTCTCTTTCTTTTCTTTCTTTCTTTTTTTCCTTTTTGTGATGCTGTGTCTCTTTCTAATCAAACCACAATAGAGAATTCAAATATATTGTTAGAACAGTTGCTATATTACTAATGAATTTTATTCTCTATTCTTAGTTTCAAAACTAGATATTTGAAAAGTTTTCCATTTTTTTCTTAAAACTTAAAGTACTAAATTATACTGATTTACCTTTGACATAGTTGTATTTTTCAAATTTCATTCAAATTCAAGTACTGATTCTCTTCATAATTTTTAATGACAGTGACTTGTCTATTAATGTTATAGAATCAAGATGAAAAAAGTCATACCTGATGTTTCCAGATAATCATTGTTATTTATAAAACACATGATAATTTAAATGATGCTATTTGCATTCATAGTCACACTCTCTTTATTTAGCCTTCCATAAAATAATTAGACCTAATTCTAATATTCAAGATAATAAACATGGAGATTTCATGTTTAAATATTTTATATTTATGTCAAGGAAATCAGATAAACAATTAGATCTTAGTAAATTGTTAGAACTTAGTTATTCTTTGTTTATAAGAGTTTTCACATCACATACAAAGCAGTCTTAGCCTCACAATAATGCCATAAGAAACATGTTACAAGTTAGAAATTTTAATACAGAGATTCTCATTTCCAATGATAACTTCCTCACTGATCATCTTTCCAATTCCTTTATACTCACTGGATCTCCACCCTAACATTTAACCTGGTGAGTTTTTATTCAGTTCCTTCCTCATCATAGTCAGACTCTGTTCTCACTTTAAACCTCAAGATTAGCTATCTTAATCAACACCCAACTTCCACTTCTTTCACTAGTGTGGTTGTATAAT